GGAGCTGGGGGGGGGGAGGGGGGGGTACGGCGGTAGCACCGGGATGCCCCGGCCACGCCGCTGTGGCCGGGGGCTCCGCCACGCTCCCCCGTCCTGCGCGGGGCAGGGCTCCGTCCCCCCGGTCCCCGGTCGTGCTCGCCGCCGGCCCCGGCCCGGCTCCATCTCGCGGCGGCGTGGGGCAGCGCACGGCGCCGCTGCTTCGCCAAGTAAGGAGCGAGCCGAGCCCGGGGACCGGTCCTGCCCGGTGCCCGGCGGGGCTGCGCTTTGCCGGGTCCTCGGAGCCCTGCTCGGCAGACACTGCGGCACCGTAACGACGGCGAGCGCAGCCGGAGGCTGGCTTGGCACGGGTGAGAACAGGAGCCGGTTTTATTTGAAGCTGTCGGTTGGCCCGGACCTACCGCTGGCACCAAACCACCCGAGCACCGGCTCCGTGCGGGCACCGCTCTCACCCCGTGCTGGGACACCAGTCCCACCCGCACTGGGATGCGCTGGCAGGGCCTTGTGGCACCAGGGCTGCTCCCAGGACACCCCTCACAGCGACAGGGAGGTTCCTTTGGGCTTCAACCCCTCCGGCATTACCCCATGAGCACAGTACAGACCAGGCAGGCCAGGGATGACGGTAACACCTTTACTGCACCATAAAAACCACATCAGTGAGTCCCCAAGGCGGTTGAGCGGGCTGGGATGGAGAAGTGCCGACAGCAAAGGAGGGGGCTTCGCAGCTCGGCACCTCATCCAAGCCCGGCCACACCGTGTGCTGGGCGAGGGGCCTGCGAGGGGAGCCTGGCCGAGTGTCAGATGAGCGGCATCTTCTTGGCAGGGAGGCTGAGGACCACCTCGGTATCCGGCATGCAACTAAGGGAGAGAGGAAAGTTAGGAGGGGCAAAGTGAAGAGCGGGAATAAGCCGCCATGCGAGGAGGAGGTGGAAGAGGAGGAGAAGCTCCTGCATGGCCAGGGTGGGAGGTGGGTGACTGCTCAGATGCTCTGTGCAGCCCACTCAGAGCTCGGAGGCACCCGATCCCCTGCGTGTGGGGATCAGAGGGCTTGGGGTGGGTGGAGGGAAGCCTGCTGTGCGTTAGCTGTGCCATCTTCTCTGTGTCCCCAGGGTCCAGGACTGGTTTTTAGTGGGGAGGGCTCAGACACTTGTTCTGGGACACAGGACAAAGCAAGCAGCTGCGGGGAGCAGGGGGAAAAACCCTTTAAAACCAGATGAGGGTTGTTGTGCACAGTCCCTGTTCAGCATGAACCAGAGCCCTGCCCGACCACTAGCTCAGCCCAGCACTATTTTGCTTTTTGGCTCACCCTTCATCATCTACCCTGGCCGCTAACCACTCTGCCTACAAAAGAAATCAGCTTCAAGCCTGAGCCCTGCTCCACGGCCCTTTCTTAGGCCACGCTTGCGACTAAGCCCCCCGCAAGGCAGGCTCAGAGCTCGCTGGCCTTCCCAGAAAGGCAGAGCCAGACGTAACCCTGGGGCTCTGAGAGGGAGAAGGAATGAAATCAGCCGCCCCTCACTGTCAATCCCGAAAGACAAACAGCAGTGGAGAAAGCCCGTCGGAACAGCCGGGTACATCTGCTTTCTCACAGAGAGAGGACAAGCACAGTGAGCTGGGCTTGCTTAGAGCTGCGCTCATCCATCTCCGTCTCAGTCCAGGACAAACTGTGCGTCCAGAGTCCCCACAGCACAGGGCTTGAAGCTGCTGGTGAAATCCACCCAGGGCCCCTTGAAGCAAGAGGATCTTGAATGAGGGGAAACTGAAACGCAGATGGGAACGGATATGCAGGGGGTTACAGCTCCTCCGGGCTCCGTGGGCTGCCAGCAGCACACAGAGATCCAAAGAGGGCCAGCAAGAGTCGGGCGCTCCTACGCACCCTTATGCTCCCAGGCTGAGTGTAGCTTGTGTCTGATTTTGCTCTTTCAAGAAGCAAATCCAGTGTCTGGAACCAAAGGGTTAATTAGAAAAAACGAAGGGCTGGTGAAGTCGTGTGAAAAGTTGCAGGGAGGTCAGTGGGAAAGGGCTGAGGGATGGCGGAGAGGGCTCTGGCACGGGCTCCTGCCTGTCAGGGCGGGTAAGCACCAAATGCCTGACTTGTGATGTTACAGAAACTTTCCACTTGGGCCTTCCTGCTATTTTTAACTCTTCTCCCAGCCACCCTCAGTAACCCCAGTCCCACCAGCTGTCAAGGCTAATTAATTCCCTTTTTTCATCATTTTTTTTATCGGGAAAAAAATTAAGTTGGACTAATCCATCACGCAGCCGCTTGCCTCCCCTCGCCATCTCCTGACACATTCCAGGCTTTCCTCCTGCTTCAGCTCATGCCTCCACAGTGCTGCAGCCATACCTGCCTTCCAGCTAAAACCCAGGCCCTGGAGTGGAAGATCTAGCCCCTCTTGTCACCTGTACCACCACCAGTTTGCTGGGCGAGCGTCTGCTCATCCCAAGGGATGATATTTTCATGCAAAATAACCCCTGTGTGCATGCGAGGTGTGGAGGAGTTGAGGGGCTGGCCTGCACCTGCAGCGGCAGGACGCACTGGAAAGGAATGACTCCGTTAACAGACGTCTCTGTGCCAAGAACAATTTGTATAGGCAGCTGCTGTAAATAAACGCACATATGCACGCTGTTCTGCATACAACTACGGGTTTCAGGCTATAGCATGCTCAAGATCTAAACACATTTGACCCATTTTTTTTTCCTCAGGTTTATACGCCTGGTCAGCAGACAGCACAGAAAGCCGAGGCACCGAGGCACCTCTAAATCATTTGCGATTTTTGTGATTTGTCCTGCCCTGGGTAAGACCCCACTGCCATGGGACAAGGGACAGTGTTACGGCTTCAGCCTGCCATGGGTACGGTGGAAAATAGCTTGTCACGGCTGGCTGTTGGTATGCTTCAGCCCACGGACTTGGCCCGTCTGGGTCTGTCCCTGGAGAGGAGAGCCCGGTATTCCTGTGATCGAGCTGGCAGGGCCTTCTGCCCATCAACACTAAGTGAGGATTCACCTTACACTTTGTAATTCTTATATCCAGTATCAGCACAGCACACACTGGTAAGCAGGAGTGAGGATTACCCACAACCTCCACTCAGGAAGTAATTAGCTACCAGAGAACTGGGGCAGGGAAAGAGCAGTGAGAAAGATAACAAAGTTTTGCCTTTTTGCTGCCAGCCAATGCTGCCGGCACATTTTTTTACATATTAGGGAAACAGCTGCCCCTCTTTGCTCTCACAGACTGCTGGTGCCATTTCACACAACCAGCAAGGCGGCTCTAGATGGGCAAGACCTGCCTCGACAGGGATGCTCCTCGTGAGCCTGCCCCCTTCCCTCAGTTTTGTTTCCTAAACACGAAGTAAAAATAACAATAAAGTAAGAGCCAGTGTAGGCACAAGGGCCTTGAAAAGCTCTGCTGGTCCTGACTGTCCCTGGCTGCAGCCACTGATCATCTCCATTTGCAGACTGCACAAAGGGAAGCCCAGAAGAGAGATGTGATGTGACCAGGGATCAGTATTAGAGTTGTGGCTAGTTCCCAGCTGCTCTTAGGCAAGACCACAAGACCCTGCAGCCATCTTTCCAAGCAGAACCCAACGTAACTGTGGGTTTATACCCCAGGCTGGGCATAGGTTTAACAGTGATGTCTGTGGAAACAATGGAGTAAGGTTATCAGCACTCAGTGCCAACAACTTTGCAGCCCAAGGCCACAGAGAAAGGGCTGTGCAAGCCCACTGACCAGCCTTACTTTGGTCTGTGGAGAAGAACGTCAGCAAAGATCAGCTCTCTTAGGTCTCTTGCACTCTGGCGGAGCATCTGGATGCTTCTCTTCAGCTCACCAATCTCCTCCTCCAGGTCCTTAATAATCTGAATGAATGACATTTCTAAGAGTCCTTTACTTTGCAATAGAAGCAGGAATAAAAAGTTTTAGAGATTTTGCAAACAGCAGAGCTAGAAAACATCCCTCATGAAAGTGAGCCCCTAACAGGCTTCCTGAAATACCTGCTGGACTGCTCGTCCTCAGGATGTCCTACCAGCCCACTGACTCCAGTGGAAATGGAAGGCAACGTACCCCACTAAGGCAGACAAAATCCTCATGAAGGGAAAGGGCTGAGGGTGGCTGGCTCTGCTGCACTGCGCTCATTCTTCCCCAGCTCGCTCACCTCCCTTTGCCTCAGTATTTCACATCGTAGAATGTGGTTGTTTATCACCATCTGCTTCAGGCCATCCTGGTGCAGCAACGTCTCCTGTGTGGGTGAAGAGAAGAAAACCAGCTGAAGAAACTCCACAGTAACCACCAGCATGAAACCCTGCCACTGCTGGGTGCCAGTGCTGGCCGTGTCCAGGTGCATCACTCTTCAAGAAAATGATTTCTGCTTGAACAAGGTTTGGGTTCCAGCTCTAAAAAGAGACTATCATTGAGATCACATTGTGCTGATTATGGAACAAGACTGAGGAACTCAAGAGATCCAGTTCAGTTTCCCAGGCAAAGCTTGTTAATATTGCTTGGGTAACTTGTATCACCTGTGCTTCCAGATTCATCTGTGAAAGGGCACAGCAGTTCTGCATCAGAGCAGGCTGTAAACCGAGTCAGTAATTAATTATTTTCCTGGTGCTCTCAAGCTGCTAACCCAGGAAAAGTGCTAAGCACATCATGCGAGCGGGAACTATGCAACAGTTCCTCCTATTTTGGGAAGAACGACAGCAGTCCCTGCTCTGTAGTGCTGCATATAGTTTAATATCCTCATGAATTTATTACAAACATATGTGCGCTGCCACAGCAGTGTCACAGCCAATTAGCAAAGCAGCTACCTAAATAATGTAATACAACAGGGACCATAAAAGCAGGGTGAATGTTGGGTCACAGTGCACTCACCTCCACGTGGCAAACTCTCAGGAGCGAGTCTGAGAATATTTTAACACACCAGACTACAGCAGCAAGTCAGAAGTGCATCTCATGTACCCTCCCAGCCTGACAAACAGCTCCAGTATGGCATCAGGAGGGGAGCAGCAATGCTTTGTTACTCTTTGGGTGCTGGCTGCACTGTGCTGTTGCTAATGGGCAATGTGTGGCAGCCCCTGCCTTGTATCCCAGCTCCCAGAAACTGATTCCCCTTGCTGGGATGTCTCATGAGTTCCACAAACCTCCACGACTTTCTGTAACAGTGCTTCTTGTTCTGCCCGTGCCTTCTCTTCCAGCTCCTCCAAGATGGCCTTCCCCATTTCTTCTGTCTTGTCTATCTCCTCCTGAGAACAGCAGGAAGGAGTGCACAGAAACAACAGGAGCGTTAGGCAAGATAACCATCACGTTCCTTCCTTCCCTTCCCTCTCCTTCCTCCCTGGCAACACTGCAAGAGAGGTCTCGGCACCTGCTGTTGCTCCTTCAGTTTCTGGATGCTGCGCTGCAGAAGGGCTATCTGGACAGCTTGTTCCGGATACTGCCCGTTGATGTAGGTGCGCAGGACACTGAGCTCGTCCTGGAGAACCTGTACCTTTGATGTGACTTCATCCAGCTGCTGCTGTAGCTCTGAATGAAAGTCAAAACAGAGAATCTCAAACCAGGCATTCCAGAGCTTCACTTCTTCATTAAGGAGTCTGTCCTGCATTTGCCTGAATCCTCTCTACAGAGATTACACACCCTGAGGGAAGTGGGAATGGCTACCCCAAGTCAGACCACCTTGACCAGATCCTGCCCTCCTGCAAGGAGCAATTCTTCCCACCCCCCTGAGCACAGGCTGCCGGGTGTCACAGGGCTCTCTCTGTCCTGACAGGCTGACGGGAAGATCATCCCCACAGAGCAAATGGGATTCATTTTCAGACATGAAATTGTCTGATGTTTATAAGATCAACACAGTGTCTTTAACATCATAAGAAGGAAAGCAAAGGTAACACAGTTGTATAGACTGCATTTCATAGTAATGCGAGCAACTCACTTCCCAGATTCTTCTCCATTGTTTTTTCTGTTTCCTGGAGCTCTGCCCTTGCTGTATCCAGCCGGTTCTGATTGAAGGTCTGCACGATTGCCTTCACCCTCTGCACAGGGAGAAATCCAGTCAGTGCTCATTCCACAGAGCTCTGAAACATCCCCCTGCACCATCCCTGACCTTCCTCTCATGTGCTGTTGCTTGCATTAGCAGGACAGAGGAATCCGTCGCTGTGGCTGCTGCCAGCTCGTGCACGGGAGCTGCTCTGGGGAGCAGAGTGGTGCTTCAGGAGCCAGCTGCAGCCAAGGACATTACAGAGAGATGGATTTGGGCTGTTACAGGGGTGACTACTGTTGCTTGGGACAGTTACAGTCAGGGTGCTCTCATGACTTTAAAACACAGGCACAAAACAAGAGCACTTCACAGGATCTTTGGGCATCAGAGAGCTCCCCACGGGACTGGGGATGCTCTAGTCACACTCGGTGCAGCGGAAGGGGCTGGGCAGCGCCTGACCCTTCTCCAGTACTAATGAGTAATGGGAAGTTCTGCACTCTGCTGAATTGGGTCTGTTGGTCAACCTTAAAGCCTCACCTGAAGTACTTCATACTGCTGCAGCAGGCTCCTGGCTTGCTTGGCAGTGCTGTCATCAGTGTGCTGGATGTCCTTCATCAGCTGGCAGTTGGTCTCTGCCAGGTGGGCACTGCGCTGCTTCAGCTCCTCGACAGCATTTTTCTTCAGATTGGTCAGATTCTGCATGAATTTGTGGATTAAAGTGTTGCGGATTCCACCAGTTCCACCCACCCCAAGTTTTCATAGCATCGTCTGCCATCCCCAGGACATTCCTGTGCCATGGTAACAGCAGCCTCACTGCTGAGGCACTCTGACTTCCCCCATACAGCACACCCTTGCTCCCACGTTCCTTTCTACCAGCTGCAGCATCACCGTCTCTTTTATAACCATCTTTCACCTACTAAAAAGCTGTGGTCATGTCCTCCACCTCAACCTTCTCTTTGCTAGACAGAAAATCTGATACTGACAGTCTTTTCTAACAGGTCACATTTCCTAAATCTCATCCCTCCTACTGCTACAGTCTGGACTCTCTCTTGGTTTCTCTTAATTTTTCTTCATAGACAATATCAAGGTTAGATTTCTTCAGCATTAAGCAGAGCAGCATAATTACCTCCAGTGTATTAATAAATAAACACATGCCATTTTGCAAGAGTGAGTCAGGCTGCTAGAATTTCCTCCATAAAGGCAGCCAGGGTAACTGTATGGATTTGCTACCTACATCCCAGCACTGGATATTTGTGGCACGTACTGTGGTAATTTTGATCTCTTCCAAGGTTTTAGCTAATTCAGCCTTCTTGAGTGCTAATTTCCTCTGAGTAAAACTTCTGTATTTCTCTTGGGATGATGATGTCTCTGAAGGCAACGGTGGTTTTTTACTCAGCATAAATGCAACTGGTGAAACAAACAAAGAAAAGCCTGTGCTTATTTCACAGTCCAGTTTCAATGCTTTACATCTACTCTCTCCTGTCATATGTGACTGAGAGAAATAAAAAGAACAACTGAGAGACTGAATTCAAACCTTCTGCGGCCCCAGCAAAAGCCACTCACAGTTACAGCCCAGGAGCCAAGCCTACAAAGCGCTCCCTGGCCTTTTCTAGTTCTCCCCCTTTATTCTCAGCATTTCCCCTTGGATAATTTCCTTTTTGTGGCTTTTGCTGAACATCTCCCAGCAGAAAGCACTGGGTTAACTCAAAAGCAGCACCAGTGGGCAGGGGCAGCAGGGCAGTATATAGAGGAATCTCTCCCAACCTGGCTTGTTCTTCTCCCCTTTCTTCTTCTTGTCCTCGCTGGTGAGCAGTGGCAAAGTCAGCCTGTGGGCTGGAGACTTCCTCTCCTCTGCTTCTGCCTTCTGCCATTTGCTGTAATCCTAAACTCAGCACGACAGTAGCACAGAGAAGATGGGGAGTCAGAGGAGGTTTGTGAGCAGAGACCTCTCTGACGTGACCCGCAGTTCTGACTCCCCTCTGCAACTCCTCTGGGGCTTCCCAGCGTCCCTTCACCAGCTTGGAGAAGCAAATCTCCAGGCCTGTTTGAGAGACGCCTCGTTTACAACCACGGTGCTGTGTCATAAACCCCAGGGGAACAAGAGACTTACTATTCTTTTGAACTCTTCCGTGATATTCGGGCCCGGGCCCTGTCCATCCATCTCCACACAGGCTCTGGAAGGAAAAAGCGTAACCCCAGCGAGGAGGCCGAGCCCCACAGCTCCGCCTGTCCCCACGGATAAGCCTCTGTGGGTCCAAAGTCAGAGCAGAGAGGCAGTGACACCCCCGGGCTATGGTACCCTTAAGTGAACCCCATCTCCTCCTTGCCCCATGGGGATCCCCCCTGCCCATCCCCTATAGGGAGCCCCCCTCCCCACCCCATGCCCCCCTGGGAGTCTTCCTGCCTGTCGCCTACGGGGACACCCCCTGGCTCCCTCCTTTGTCCCACTGGGACCCCCCGGAGATCCCCCGTACCCCACATCCCCGTCTCCCGGGCCGGTCTCCATGGCGACAGCAGGAGGGTACGGAAGCCGGGCGGGGCCCGCGCTCCCGGGAAGGGCGCCCCCTGCCGGCTCCGCCCCTGCCCCCGCACGGCAGGAGCCCGGGATCCACCGGGACGGGATCCACCGGGGCGAGGGCCGGCCGCCCCGGAGAGCCCGGAGCAGGGCGGCCCCGGCGCCAGCGGGCACCGGGCAGCCGCCTCAGGGCCCCGCAAAGCTGTTCGGCCCTACGGGCGTTGCCATGTTAATGGCCGGGGGCTCACCCCCGGAGCCGTGTGGGTCGGGGTGGGATGGCCCAGCAAGATGCACGGTGCCAGGGTCATAGGGGAGCTGGCGCGGCCGGTGCCCGGTGCCGGGCACGGCGGGCGGGAAAGGGTCGGGCATGCGCCGCCCGCAGGCCCCGTGCAAGGCCCAAGGCGATGAGGAAGGTCGCGGCGGAGGCTTGTGTGGCGTTCCCCGGGGCAGCGGGGCTCGGGCAGGGCCCCGGGACAGGCCGCAGTGCCCGGGACAGGCCGCGG